TGACTGGGTTAACCAGTGGGTGACAGCTGCTTCCTCCTGTGCCCCTCAGTATTTTGCTGTGTGTCCTCATCCAAGCAAACCTGCTGCCTCCATCTGCAGCCTGGGAAGCAAGGATGTTGTAAGGGACCTGTTAAAGTTCTGGGTGAACATCCAGTCTCTAAAAAAACCACAAAGACGTCTGTGTGAAAAACAGCTGTGTGGAGGGCCAACAGCGGACCCTGGGAGCATGCACACCTCATTTCCCAGCACAGATAGGGACTTTGCTCCATTCTTGGGGAAAAAGCCTAGGTTCAGTTTATTTTTATTTTTTATTTGTTCTAATTAGTTATACATGACAATAGAATGCATTTTGACATATCATACATAAATGTAGTAGTGTAACTTCCCATTCTTCTGGTTGTATATGATATAGGATTACACAGGTCATGTAATCCTATAAGCACACAGGGTCATAATGTCTGATTCATTCTATTGTCCTCCCTATCCTCCACCCCACCCCTCCCTGTACTTCCCTCTGTCTAATCCAAATTTACCTTTATTCTTCCCTAGCCACCCCCCCACCGTTATCGTGAACTAGCATCTGCATATCACATCTGCATAGAAAAAGCATTCAAAGCCTGTTTAATTTAATTTCCAATATTATTCATCAAGAAGTTTAGGGATTTTTTAGTAATTAATTTGAGATTGTTTCAAGCTGACTAAACAACTGAGGTTCCCTCTCTTTTTTTCCCCCCAGAAAAGCAGAGAGAAATCTACTTTTAAATAATATTCAATTACAAAAGTCACTAAAAAACCTATTGGAAAAGTATCTGAACTTCTGAAAATTAAGCTAAACAATCCCTTTTAACACAAGAAATCATAGTATTTTATTATATAATGTCTAGAATTAACCAAAGTCTCGGTAACCTTGTCTATTTGAACAGCAGCAAAGGAAGAATAAGAGGCCCCACAGACAAAACGGATGCAGGCAACTCAAGCCCCAGTGAACAGTGATGTCAGTCACTGACGCATCCTTACTTATTCACATCCCATCCAACAGGCTTGGAAGACATTACATCTGACAGCGACAGAAAGAAGAAAATCATTATGGGAAGAGCTGGAAACATAAGAAGGACATAACAATCCAGGATCATATATTATAGAAACAGCTTCACAAGTCTCAACAAATTGAATGCATCTCTACGACAATGAGGTTCTCTCTCTCTTTTTTGATATTTATTTAGTTATAGGTGTACACAGTATCTTTATTTTATTTTCATGTGGTGCGGAGGATCGAACCCAGTGCCTCTTGCATGCTAGGGGGGAGCGCTTTACCTCTGAGCCCCAGCCCCAGCCCCTGAGGTTCTCTTTTAAACCAGCTGATAAATGTAGACAAAGTTCCGGTCCTCTGTCTTCATACCTGCTTCGGACACTTCTTAGTTCCTTTGAGGCTCACTTCTGTCCTGAATTATTAGTGGCTCAGGTATGCTAATAGTCACTGTTGGAAATCCAGCCTCCTGGGGAAGACAGTGTGTCTTGTCCTGTCAGGGGCAATGATGATACAATATATTTTCCCTCTTGATTGTTCTGGCTGTCCCAGTAGCTGGCTCTATTCTCCCTTCCTCCTTGGGTGGAAACTTTCTAGTAATTCTGGCAGCAGCTCCTGTGTGGGGCAGGAGGACTCTGACCAGCACGCCCAGTCTCCAGTGATAGCAATCTGATGTGAGCTGGCAGGTGCACTGGCTTCTCTCTGGATTCTCCATCCTCTTGGCTCTAGCTTCCTCCTCCTGCAGCAAGTGCAATTGGAACTGAAGGCAGAGAGCGGGAGAGTGGGGCTGGAAAGGCTTGCTGCCTGTCTAGAGGAGTGTCTTTCTGGCCATAGCAACTATTTTGCAGCCTCTGGGGCCACTGCTTACTGAGAGCTAAGTCCTCTCATGGGATACTTTAGTTCTTGAGACCCTTGAGGTCCTCATGGAGGCAGAGGCAGAGGCAGAAGAGACTGGTGTCCTGGTTGTCAGTCAAGGTAAAGCAAGCATAAGTCTCAACACAGAAGGAAGCAGTCTGGAGAAAAATGGAGGCCCTTAGGAGGTTGAGCATTTGAGCGTCAGAGGGGGGTTTACTGGGGTCCTCAGGAGGAGACCCACAACTGCGTGTGCAGACTCAGATCTCCTCCTAAGACCAGCCAGGAGGGGTCCTCCACTGCCCAAAGCATAGAACCCAGCCATCCACTGCCAAGAGCCAGGCTTGTGTGGTGCAACCAGGCCAGCTTGCTGCCCTGACTTGGTGGCATAAATCTTGCTGGAGTTGTGAGTTCCAACATTAGGTCCCTAATCAAGATTCTCTGATTGGAAAAAAATATTTTCTTTGATAAAAGCCATGGTTGAGAGGTGTTAGTTCACATCAATCACTATAAAACTTTTACAACTAACATATCACACTTTTGTTGACAATAAGCAATTGTGCCCACAGAAAAGGTGAACGGGCATTCAGTTTGTGTAAAACACCCATAAGGCCATTAAAGACTAAAAAGCACTTGAACCTCTTTTGGTGCACAGGAAGTTTACAAAACAGCACTCTTGTGCCTGGTTGGTAGAAATGTGCAGTGTTGTGACTTCTTTGGAATGACATCTATTAAAATTAAAACTGTCTGTCCTCTCAGGAATTCTACTTCTTGGAACATTCCCATAGAAATAGAAATGCCAGTGCACAAGGATGTATATACATGGGTATTTTTAGAATCATTTATTCAAAGAGTAAGAGTAACTGGGGTAATAACAGATACAGTGTGGTATATCCAAATAATGTCATGGGATATTGGGAAGTCATTATAAAGAATTAAAGCTATACCAGATACTCAGAAGGATCTCTGAGCTCACAAAGAGTGAGCAAGAAAATAAAATTCAATGGAAATGTAGCAATAAAAGCCCATTAAAAAACAGTGACACAATATCTATTGTATATTTATATGTTTGTATGTGAATATACACCTGCTGATGATTTGATTATGGAAGGTCACCAGGTTGCTTCCATAGTCTGTTGGGAATTTGAAGCTTTATCTAGGGAAGAGAAGCAAGAGGGGAAGAAAGCATGTCAATGATTGCAAAACTATTAGGGCACGTGTTGTCCCACCTGTTGTGTAAAGTGTGTGTGTGTTCATGAATAAGATGCATGAAAGAATGTGGGGTGTGTTATCCTGGAACTGTGGCTGGGTGACAAGATTCCAGGTGTTCTTTTTCAGTGTATTTCTACGTCATCTACCATGATTTGAAAAGAACCTCCATTATTTTTAAGTTTGCGAAAACATATTTTATGTTTTTAAAGTGTTCATCTTATAAAAATAAAATGAAAACACGTGAAAAAGAAAAGCGGGATTATCTTAGCTACTCAAGATGTAGGGTTAATTTAGTTTTGTTTTCTGGGGTCCACCCAGTGCTGGGGTCCACCCCGGCCTCGCACAGCACAGGCTAAGCATGCACTTTATCACTGAGTTACTTCTCCAGGTCAAGTTGTCGTTCTTTCAAGGCAACACGTTGTCAGGGATAAAGTCTTCTACGCATCACAATTTTCAACAGAAGTATGTGAAAGTATGCAGACCAGATGGGATTTCAATTGAGCCTGAGTCCTAGGGTGATGTGGTTGGTAGATAAGGAAGGTGGCACGTGTTGTCACCTGTGACAGTTCCCACGATGGCCTCTGAGGGTCCCCACTCTCCAGGTGATGGTGTGTGACCATCTTTCCTGAAGTCTTCTGAGAACAGTGATTGAAAGGCTGGGGGACATCAAAGTCTGTCTCTGTGTGGGCACCTGTGGGATCACTGTGGGAGTCACTGCAGGCCAGGGCAGCACTCAGAGGCAAGGCGTAAGTGCCCGGAGGGTCCTCCCAGGCTTGACAGGAGAGCAGTTCCTACGACAGCTGGACTTCAGTCCCTCACCAGAGCTGCCCAGCTGAACTGCTCCCAGATTTAGGGACATAGCACCTTGGAGGTGGCTGAAGCCTGCTGTTTTCAGGTGTCTGGGAAGGATTGATGTGGTGTGGGGCTGTGCGGGACAGGGCGGGGGATCTTCAATGCATTTCATGGTGAAGGGGAAAAGAATTTCCAGTGTTTCAGAAGAAAGGCCACCTGTCTGGCCAAACCAGTGGTGAGGGTTTGCTAAGTTGAATTGGACTACTTTTACATTTAAGAGCAAAACACCATGCCATTTTAAAATTGTTAAAATACAACTCTTTTTAGAACACTATGACTGTGATGATCATATGCTGATGTCAACAATAATAAGTTGAAAGGCATCTTCCAAGACCAGTTGTGATTTTAGAACTTCAGATTTTATTATTGCTAATTTTGTTTAGAGACTATATCATTATATCAAAGTTTACCATAAGCCTCAGAATTCTCACTGAAGATGATTACAAAATCCTAAAGTTAAGGCCTTTAATTATATAGATAAATATAAATATTAATAAAACAATGAAAATGAAAAATGGTAAAATCTGGTAGACAAGAAGAAAAAAGACTAAGTTCTATTAAAGAATTTCCTGAATTCACTCAGATTTTTCTATTTACATATGGCTACATCAGAAGGAAAAGGAATACAAGTGCATAAATAATTTGTAACAACAATAATGTAAGTGGACCACAAGAGCTAGGGAAAGGGGGGATTCTCTGGGGAGGTGTCATGGAACAAGAGGCCTTCGGGTTTCAGGCAGGGGAGGTTGAGGAGGAGCTTGGGGAGTGACGGGTGACAGGGAGTGGACGCAGAGGGGACAGTTTACATTAGAAGCACCAGTGCTTCCTTTGTGATCCAGTGCATTAAAGCTAAAAAAGGAGCCAGAGCCCTTACTTGTCTCTCGGCCGTCACTGCCAGAATCCAGGAAGTTTCTCCCCAGCTGGTCAGTAGTGGTCAGGGAGGCTGTGTTCTGCTGAAGCCACCACTGTGGGACTGAGAGCAGCCCCACCCCCAGGAATAGATTCCTCAGGATCCTGACGCCCTTCCTCCCTCCCTCCCTGTCACAAAGTCATTTCCTCAGGATGTGAGGTGAAGGTGGCTCCTCTGAAAGTTGAGGCTAGAACACTCTTGAGAGCAGCTGCAGCCCCTCCCCAGGCACTTCCTTAGGGCGCCCACCACCTCCTTGTTCCTCAGGCTGTAGATGAGGGGGTTGAGCATGGGGGTCACTATGGTGCCCAGCACAGCTCCTATCTGGTCTTGCTCCGGCGTGTGGGCAGAGCTGGGTGTCATGTAGATGAAGATGGCCTGGCCAAAGTAGAGACTCACCACTGTCAGGTGGGAGGAGCAGGTGGCCAGGGCTTTGTTCCTGCCCTTCAGAGAGTTCATCCTGAGGACGGTGAGGAAGATGACAGTGTAGGAGGCCAGGATGAGAAGAAATGGGACCAGCAGAAACACAATGGTTGACACAAATTTCACCATCTCATAGACGGACGTGTCCACACAAGACATCCTCAGAATGGCGGGCATCTCACAGAAGTAATGGTCGATCTCCCTGGAGCCACAGATGGGGAAGTGCATGGGGTAGACGGTGTGCACAAGTGCTGCAAGAGCTCCTCCAGCCCAGGCCGAGACAGCCATCTGCAAACAGACCTTGGGGCTCATGAGGACTGTGTACCTCAGGGGGTTACAGACAGCCAAGTAGCGGTCATAGGCCATGAGGGTCAGCAGGATGCACTCAGCAAGGCCCAGGGTGAGGAAGGCAAACATCTGGGCAGCACAGGCCAGGAAGGAAATGCTCCTCTTCCCTGAGAAATGGTTGGCTAGCATCTTGGGCACCGTGCTGGAGATGTAAGCTAGGTCAATGACAGACAGCTGGCTGAGTAGGAAGTACATGGGGGCTTGCAGACGGGGGTCCAGCCAGATGAGGAGGAGCAGCGTGGAGTTTCCAGCAAAGGCCATGGTGTATAAGAGGAGAATGATAAGGACCAGGAGGCTGGGATGCCCGAACCTGGGGAAGAGCCCAAGCAGCACGAAATCCGTCGAGGTTTCGTTCTCCTCCATGTTTTCATTCAAGTGTTCAAATTTGGATTGAAAATCTACAGGGGCAAAATAATACCACAGGGCTTGTGGTGTTTTGTTGACATAATCGTTGTCTCTTGGTCAGCACCTCTTCTTCATTTGCTGCTCACCAGGACTTTAAAACTCTGCATCCCAATAAAGAGACATTTAAATAATTCCATCAAACAACGCCATTACCTGGAAATTAGCAAAGTCATGTCCTGTAGTTACTTTGACTTGGATATATGACAACGTTAGTCCCTTTGTCTGATAACAATCTCCCAGCCCATCATTCTTCCCTGTATTTTGAAGTCTCTATGTCTTTTGGGCTCTTGGCCTTCTCTCCTGGTGGGGGTTCTGTTTCTAAGCGTCCTGTGTATCCACCTCGACCCAGAGGCCTTCCCTGTGGCCCTTTATTACACAACAATACTCAAAAATTTCAGTTGTCAACCAAATTAACTAGGGCTGTTTATTCTGCTTTGCTTGTGATGATCCATAATTTGTATTACATTCAGGTTTTTCCATTTTATTCTAAGTAAAAATAATTTTAAACTGTATCTTTGTATTAAATAAAATAATCTCCTATTTAAGCGAGTGGTCTTTTATTGCTGGGTCTGTAGTTCTTCAATTACTGTTCATTGGCCATAGAGTAACATAAAATTTCTTAAAATATTTTAAGGTGTCATATAAAGTCCCATAAATAATTTTTAAGATCCCATGTTTGCAAGGGTGCTGTCTAAAGGCCAGTAGATAACACCTTACTCTTTCCCCTTAGGACAAGTGAAGACTTATACCCTCATCTGATAACAAATATCAGATGGTGCTCGATTATCACATGTAAAATGTAACATGGAGTCTTTGATTAGCATGCAAGGGGTATTAGCTGTGGCAGACAGACAAATATTCCATTCCAAATCCATAAGTTGATTTCCTTTGTGTACCCTAATGACTCATGTTCAATATCTTTTGCTTTTGTCAAGCAACTAGAAATTTTACTTTCATTATTTATCATATACTCATATACTTTGGAGACTTACATTTTTTCAACATGGGAGATTAATCCTAGGGCCTCACACATGCTGGGCAAAGTCCCTATCACTGCATTATATGCTGAGGCTTTTAATTTTATTTTGAGACAGGGTCTCACTAAGCTGCTGAGGCTGACCTTGAACTTGTGATCCTCTTGCCTCAGTCTCACTAATAGCTGGGATTATAGGTGTGCACCACCAGGCCTGTCTTCCCATCTCATATTCTTAAGGCTTCCTTTATTTGAGATAATGAAAATAATGCATTGTACAGTGTTAACAGCCAGTGGAAAGAGCCGCCTTTATAGGGTAGAGTCATGATAAGCCTTTCTCAGCATCTCACATCTGGAGAATTTTGTTTCCTCGAGGTACTAGACCCAGGTGCCTTGTGATTTTTTTGTTTTAATATCCTTGTTTTATTTATTTATTTTATGTGTTGCTGAGGATAGAACCTGGTGTCTCACGTATGTGTGACAAGTGTTCCACCACTAAGCTACAACTCCAGCCCCACATGTGATATTTTATATGATGAAAATATTATGAGGTTTTATGGGACTACGTGGTAAAGGTGCTTTCATTAGGAATGTCTTGGTTCTTCAATAAACTTGTAAGCTGAAAAATCAACGTATAGCTCAGGGATTTGGATTTTTCATGTTCTATTTGATCTAAAAGGCTGCTCTCTCCTCTTCAAAATCATAATAAATCAATAGTCATTGATAAAGCCCTTATGCACCTACTTTAGAACATGAAGTTAAAAGCAGTACTGAACTACACAGCTAGTCTGAGACTGTCTTGACTAAAGGACAAGCAAGGAACTGGGAGTTCTGTCGAATGGTGAACGCTTCTGTCCTCAGCCTGGGAAGATGCAGGGCAGCCTGGGAGGCGGCAGGGAGCTGTGCAGCTGGCCCCGGCCAGGCACTGGCTGATGCACTACCAGGACCCAGAGACCCTCTGCATCAGGACCCGGATCTACCCCTGTCACACTGATCCTTACCATAGGAGTTGGGTTCCTGCTTCCTCGCTCTTCCACGGGCTGAGCAAATACATTTCACAGGTCATAACTCAGTGAGAGACATCCTTCCATTTCACTGGTTCAAACTTACCTGCTCTTGCTTTTCAGCATTTTCTGCTCCTATCGTTATATGCAGTTCTTACACTCCTCTGTTTTTACGTACTGTTTCCCTGTCCAGTATTAGCAAATTTTCTGCTCAGTAAGACATGGTAAGAGCTCTAGACAACCAGAGTTAACCTCCTGCACAGAAAGCAGTTGTTTATTAATAGTGAGTTAGCGTGCTCCCTCTGGTTGCTGCTGCCCAGTGAGCTTCAGGTAAACAGGCTCATCTTGGGTCCCATGGCTCCTTGGCATTAACTTAGTCATGTCTTGAGGAATCTGACTTCTGACATCTCATCTCAAAGGACTAACTGCATTTCTGTTGCACACCTGGCTGAGGTCTGAGAATAGCATGTGATGGCTCAGTAGCATTTTCTGGACTCGATTTAGTCCACCCACAGCTTCTGGGTGCTGCAAAACCTGGGAACATTTGAGCACTGTCTCATGGGAGTCTGTCCCCAGACTTTAATTAATAACAGCCCAGAATAAATGTTGGGCTCTTAGAAACTCCTTATGAAGCATAATGCTGTCCAGTGTTCTGTAGTTTGATTGCAAAATAACACAGTTGACTTTTTACTGCCCCTATGGAAATGGAAGCATTAAAGAAATTCCAGCTGGGCACGGTGGCACACAGCTGTAATCCCAGTGGCTCAGGAGACTGAGACAGGAGGATCATGGGGTTCAAAGCCAGACTCAGCAACGGTGAGGTGCTCAACAACTCAGTGAGACCCTGTCTCTAAATAAAGTACAAAATAGGGTTGGGGATGTGGCTCAGCGGTCGAGTGTACCTGAGTTCAATCCCCGTTATGGGGGTGGGGGAAGAAATTCCATATTGCAAATGTGATAACTAACTGCTTGGGCAAGTTTTAAAGAATGGAGAGAAAATGTAATTTTTTAAAAAAAAAAGATTCTCCAAACAAACACAATCCTTGAAGCCGAATCCAGGGTGAGAAAGCCAGCAAGTGTCACAAGGCAATCCACTGCACCCATTCCCACGTCACCTGTGCTGGAGGGTTAGTTCATCTCACACCACTTCACTGAAGAGAGGGCGAGCTAAACTGAACTGGTGGTGTCAAGTGTGACTTGCTCAGCTATAGAATTAGCAAGAAATCTCATCTAAAGAAAAGCATTCAACAAGTCAAATCATTTTATCTTCTAGTAATAACTCTTTAGATCATTAAGTGGGACTGAGTGAGATGGGAGCTCTTGGGAGGGGAAAGGTTTCTCAGAAGACCATTTTGCTCACAAGGCAGGACATAGAGGGATCAGGAAAGCTGTGTGAGAGCAGACCAGAGACCATGGGGCACTCCCTAAGGGCACTAGGGTCACCCTCAGCCTAGGCTAACTCCCCACCCGGTGGGGACAGATGAATTTCCTCTCAGGTGCTTTATGGAGGAGGCCATCACTCCCTGTAGATAAGAGACTGTCCTGGGACTCTCTCAGCTTCTTTTGTGATGGTTGTGGGTTGCTGTTTCCCTCTGTTGCCATTTGGGGTGAAGGGTGGTTCAGAAATCTAAGGTGGGTGTCCTCGGCTCCATATCCAGTTAGATCATTTCCCAAGGTTTCCAGATTTCCCTGAGAAACTATAAGAGACAGAATTATCAGGTGACTTCATATCCTTTAAAAAGTATTCCAAGATGAAAACACATACCTTGTCACAAGATATTTTTGCATGTCATGTTTGAAAAAGATACACTCCCCTCCACCCCTCCTAGGAAGGAGGGCTTTATTCTGCAATATGGAAGAAACATTCGTTGCTCACTTGCCCCAGTAGATCCACCTTTTTTGATATACAAGTTGGCTCTTATTATATATTGTGTTTGTGTTCAATAGTGTCATTGAGCACACTGAATTAGTGAATAATGAGTCATCGCCCCAAGGCAAACACAGGGCTAAGTGCCTGGGCGCCTCTGATCACATCATCTTCATGTGTTTCCTGTGTTTCTCTTTAAGGACTTATTACCCTTGAGACTCTCATGAAGGTGTAACGTGGTGACCTCACTGCGTCAGTTAGCACTGAACTTGAACTCAGCACCTGGCTGAGAGAGGCTGAGCTAGCTCCACTCGCTCTGTAAGCCTCACACAACTTTCTTGATTCCAGTCACATTAGCCACTTTGAGCAGCAAACTTGTCCCCTAGAAAAGCACAGAAACATGAAAAGCATCTCACAAAAGTGCCACAGGAAAATGCTTCTTTACAGAGCCAGTTGGGAAGGCAGAGCACAATTTCCTATGTAACTGGGAACACGATCATCTGGTGCAAGTTTCTCCAGTGCTGTGCACGTTCATGGGAAGCTGTAGAAATGTCATGATCTTGAGATGACGAATTCTGGTGAGCAGGCAAGTCACAAGCAAGGAACTGTCAGATAGAGAGGATGGAGCAAGTGTAGTTGATCATTCATTGCAGCTCTCCTTTTTCATTAAGACATTTTCTTAAACACAAAAATCATGTACAAATAGTGCTGTCTTTTAAAACGATTTTCTTCATACACCCAAAATTGAATTATAATCTATTTTAAATTCGGGAAGCATGTATCTTAACTTTACTTAGGTATTTTAATTTAATTTTTCTATTATTCCCATTGATGGACACATCCAAGTCAGGAAATCTACTAGGCAGTAGTTAAGGAAACATGAGAGGGCCAGCTGAGGGCAGGAAAGGACCGTTCCATTCAGGAACTGAGCAGGTCAGAGATTCTTTGCAGAGGGAGGGAGGGAGAGGACCTCTATTTGGGCATTTTTGAATATGAAATCAACCCTATTATTTTAGTAAGTAGAATTTTACTCGTGTGAAATTATACCACTTCTAATTTTTTAATATTTTTTTTGGTTTTTTGTATGTTTGCCCATAGTTTAAGTTATATACAT